GGAAAGAGAGAAAGATGAAATGGAAGAAAGAAGGACGAAAAGAGGAAGGAGTGAGAGGAGGAAAGAAAATGGGAGGATAGGGATGGGTAAATGAAAAGAAAAAAGAAAAAAGGAGAAAGGAAGACAACTGAGAAACATCAGAAGGATAGAACTTGAACAAAAAATGAATAAAGGAAAGAGAGAAAAATAAAAAACGAAAAGAAAACTAGGGAGGAAAGAAGACAAAGAAGGAAAGGGAATTAAGAAAGTGAAAGAGGAAGCAGCGACGTTCCCGCCCCGACCGGACAAGAGCGCTCTCCGTCAGTACATTCCGCAAGGCTACTTTCGCATGACGCCCCCCTCGGCGGCCGGGCTTTCTCTCCGGCGGTCCGGCGGTCGGTCCGGCGGGGGTCGCTCATTTCTCTCTCTCTCTCTCTCTCTCTCTCTCTCTCTCTCTCTCTCTCTCTCTCTCTCTCTCTCTCTCTCTCTCTCTCTCTCTCTCTCTCTCTCTCTTTCTTTCTCTCTCTCTCACTCTCTTTCTCTCTCTCTCTCTCTCTCTCTCTCTCTCTCTCTCTCTCTCTCTCTCTCTCTCTCTCTCTCTCTCTCTCTCTCTCTCTCTCTCTCACACTCTCACTCCCGACATACATACATACATACATACATACATACATACATACATACATACATACATACATACATACATACATACATACATACATACATACATACATACATACATACATACATACATACATACATACATACATACATACATACATACATACATACATACATACATACATACATACATACATACATACATACATACATACATACATACATACATACATACATACATACATACATACATACATACATACATACATACATACATACATAAACACATACATACATACATACATACATACATACATACATACATACATACATACATACATACATACATACATACATACATACATACATACATACATACATACATACATACATACATACATTCATACATACATACATACATACATACATACATACATACATACATACATACATACATACATACATACATACATACATACATACATACATACATACATACATACATACATACATACATACATACATACATACATACATACATACATACATACATACATACATACATACATACATACATACATACATACATACATACATACATACATACATACATACATACATACATACATACATACATACATACATACATACATACATACATACATACATACATACATACATACATACATACATACATACATACATACATACATACATACATACATACATACATACATACATACATACATACATACATACATACATACATACATACATACATACATACATACATACATACATACATACATACATACATACATACATACATACATACATACATACATACATACATACATACATACATACATACATACATACATACATACATACATACATACATACATACATACATACATACATACATACATACATACATACATACATACATACATACATACATACATACATACATACATACATACATACATACATACATACATACATACATACATACATACATACATACATACATACATACATACATACATACATACATACATACATACATACATACATACATACATACATACATACATACATACATACATACATACATACATACATACATACATACATACATACATACATACATACATACATACATACATACATACATACATACATACATACATACATACATACATACATACATACATACATACATACATACATACATACATACATACATACATACATACATACATACATACATACATACATACATACATACATACATACATACATACATACATACATACATACATACATACATACATACATACATACATACATACATACATACATACATACATACATACATACATACATACATACATACATACATACATACATACATACATACATACATACATACATACATACATACATACATACATACATACATACATACATACATACATACATACATACATACATACATACATACATACATAAACACATACATACATACATACATACATACATACATACATACATACATACATACATACATACATACATACATACATACATACATACATACATACATACATACATACATATAGACATACATACATATAGACATACATACATATAGACATACATACATATAGACATACATACATACATACATACATAAACACATACATACATACATACATAAACACATACATACATACACACGCACACACACACACAAAATACATGTAGCACATAATATTTACTATTCTCTCCACCCCCTTCACAATCTCATCTCCCGAATTTTTCCAATCCTTCTCGAAAGCCAGGGAGTGGTCACGTGACCTTCCCAGCCGACCTTGCCTGACGTCTCACCGACCTCAAAGAAGCCCCAATGGACTATCTCGATCGGCTTCACTCCCTAGCCCCTATCCCTTCCCCTCTACGCCCCTATCTCGTGTTGGTGTCTTCCCTCTCCGTTTCGTCCCTTTTCGTCTTCGCTTTCTCTTCTTACTTCTTATTTATCACTTATTTTCGTGTACTTCCAACATCTCCTTCGACTTTTCCTCCTTCTCTCTCTTCCTTTTCACTATCCTTCTTCCTTTTCTTCTTCTCCTTCTCCCTCTTTTTATCATTCCTATTCGAGTTTCCCCTTTTTCTACCCCATTATTTAGGTTTTCTCCTCCGCTCTTACGTGAGTTTGCGCTTGACCGAACATTCATGTGACGGTGCAAAAGGGGAGAGGAGGGGGGGGGGGAGCTGAGTGTGGGGAAGGGGGGAGGGGGGAAGGCGAAGGGGGGAGGGGGGAAGGCGAAGGGGGGGGGGGAGAAGCGAAGGGAAGAGAAGGAGAAGGTGGCAGAAGGGTAGAAAGAGGGGGGGGGGAAGTGGAGGGGAAGGTGAGGGGAAGGGGTAAGGGGGGGAAAAGAGGATGGGAATAGGGACCGGTAAGGATGAGGGGCAATGGATAAGGAAGAGGAATGGGGAAGAAAGGTAACAGGGGTGAGAAGGGTGGGGAGGAGGCCGCGTGACTTTGATGCCGTTGTGACTGTCATTTGAATAGTGATGTCTTCTGAAGCGACATCTTTACTCCTTTTTGTCTCTCTTTGGCTTCATATATACATATACACAAAGACTTAGGTCACATACAAGTACAGACATACTATTAATTTGATAACATGCAGACATCTACAAACACAAACACACACACACACACACACACGCACGTGCGCACACACACACACACACACACACACACACACACACACACACACACACACACACACACACACACACACACACACACACACACACACACGTTCAATACATGCAAAAAACAAATCACAGGCTGCCATATAAATAAAAATAACAAGGAGAAGCAAGGAAGCAAAACTAGAAAGTTTATTTTGAGAGCAGGTCATTTTGCTGTCTCGTTTCCCTGGCAAATGTATGTATGTTTTTTGTTTTTGCCTTTTTATGTTTTTAACAACTACTTATTTTACTATCCAACATTATCATATGTTACACTTAGTTATGACCACTGTCACAAACTCTGACTGAAAGAATGTAAATTTTGTAAACCAGTAGAAGAAAACCACATAGAAAAGGAAGAAAATAACAATGAAAACACACAAAAGAAAAAAAAAAAAGAATGAAACGAAGAGACAGACAAGGATTGGCTTTCATTCAAGAACGTTCTGGAGCCACAAAATAACAGTAATCTTCTCCATTAACTTTCTTCTCTTTAAAGGAAAGTGTGATTTGTGGATTCGTCCAACTTTGTATGCTATTATCCTTTTTTCTTCATCAACTTTTCCCTTTTCTCTTTTTCCATCATACAGGAAACTTTCAAGAAGGAATGCAATGAGACCTCAGGTACTGTTGCAAAAGTCTCCCCCAGACCATTCAATATTGCACACGAGATGCTGTGGGAAAATGCACTGAGGCCTATCTAATGGCATGACTTCTTTAGAAATCAAATGAAAAAAAAAGGAGAACAATAAGAGAGAGAGAAAAAGACTTCTCATCTTCCTCATGCGTTAACAGTATTTTTTGTATTCATATTTTTTATATTGGCCTAAAACAACAACAACAACAACAACAACAATACACACACACACACACACACACACACACACACACACACATTTCCAAACTCCATGACCCCCTACAACGTCTAATTTGAAAATAATCATAGTAACAGAAATTATACTTTTCAATTCCAACATTATGCATGATATTTTGGAACAATCTCTAAAAACTTCTGTAAACAAAGACCATACTATAAGATTCCTAAGAAGCTTTTCTAAACTTACTGCAATCGCCTTTTTAAAATTTCTAATTAGCAAATAATTAAATAGGAATAAAATAATCCACATAATATAAATCTCTAATACAATAATCAACATGGATACTTCTCATCCCTTACAATACATAGTATTAATAATCAAATAATCATAATAAGCCTTCAAACACCCCATCAACTTCAAGAAAGTCCTTCCTAAATCCTTTGGAGAAACAGAAATCTAGACATAATGTGGAACAAGAAATCATTTATCCTAACACAGAGGATAATCTTCAAGAGACAATTTCTAAAAACATTCTAAACAATTAACAACAAAAGGGCACATGACTTCCGATGCTTCTGATGACTCTTAACAAATTTCCCCCTATATTCTAAATAAAAGAAATTCCTATTACTAATAAGACTACTCTCTATGACCAAAACATTATCCCTAAAACACACACACAAAAATAAATATCTACACCGAAAATCACCTTTTCCTTCAGCCTCAGAAAATGACTTCCTAATTCAATGCATCTCAACAAATTCTTTTCTTAATGCCTCTAAAACTATATATATAAAATAAAATAAACATCAATAATCTATAACACCAATAAAATTAACTTGAGTACTCACTGGGGCCGGCGGTGGTGGGTGAGCGTGTCGGTGACTGGGAGTCCACAACAGGGATGTGGAGGCAACGCTGGCACAGACATTCTTTGCCTGTGTACGTCACACGTTCCCCTGTTGGGAAGGGTTGTCTGTAAAAGGAGAGAAGATGGATTAAGAATCAACATAAGTTACTATTCTGAGGTAGTGTGAAAGCAATGATGTAAATGAGCAATAATCAGTTCAGCTTTCCATGGATTGCTAAGAGAAAAAAGTAAAAATAAAAATCACTCAGCCTTTCAAGATGATGTAAAGATACCAAAAAATAACTGCAACATATAAGTATATATAATCAAGCATATGCATTTCTGCCCACAGGAAGTAACAAAAACAATTTCTCAAAAGACATAAGACAGATAATTCCACTCACCCTCAAATATCCAAACCTTCCCTCCCTTTTTCCTGCACTAACTCTCTATACTTGAGTGAAAGTAAAATGTAGAAGTATAAAGCTCAGTCCAAAACAATCCTCCCCAATTGCACATTCACATTATATACACCAACAAAACATGCCAAATCACACCAATCATCCTCCACTGCAAAATCCATGAGCATGTCTCCGAGAAACAAAAAATTAAAGACTATACAACCCTAAATCTTGAGTTGTTCCACTTCATCAACAACAGACAACAAGGATCGTGATTCTGACATTTCATGGTCCATGGGTCAAGTTCCCAAAGATGGGGAGCATGGAGGACACAATTGTATCACTTTCTCAACCACTCCATGTCCCAGTGCAAAGTTGATACAAGTCATCATGAGACAGGGAAGATCAGAGTCGCACAATCACTTCCGTTGTGGTTAAAAAGCAAAACTATAATCCCTTGGAAGCTCACTACACAAAGGATATATCTTGATAGAAAACTAAAGAAAAATGACATTAAAGTCTGTATAAAATCATAGAATGCAAATAGAATACCTATGGGATGAAATCCAAACTTGGTAGAGAAGGTTCCAGAACTTGAATGAATAAGTTCTAAAATAAAGCTGAGAATCATATATTCCTTTTAATTTGTGTTACATATATCAGACTAAGGATTGTATTGTGATTTTTTTCTAAAACTCAAGATTAAATGAAACCACTTGAAGTCTGGGAAAATGAGTAAAAGCAAATTATATTTTCAAAGTCATGCAGAGGTCAAGACCAATGTCATCTAAATGCCGTATGTCAATAAAGAATGAAGAGCACTCTAGATGTTGACAAAGTCTGTATATTAGAAATATAATCTGATATATACACAATATACAGTATATATACAATATAACATAGTTATCACTTCAAACATTATTAATGAATTGCAAGTCACTAAGTTAATATAAGTGCTGAAACAGGATAAAACTAGTATATAAAAAACATACATTTGCCTATCCCATAAGCTAGACAATCTGGAAAATTCAGTATCATTTTCCCATTTAATCAACATGGTTAAAAAGCCAAAGAAGGTATTTGATAGAGTAACTGTATTATACCTAGCAGAGAGGTCTCATAACAAGTTAACACCTAAAATATATGAAATTACCAATAAACAGACAACATAAGAATTAAAAAAGATATAATATATGCATATGCATACATATATCTCACATAAATATTCACCATCAGCTTAGCATGACCTGAGAAAAAGCTCTGAGACATTATGCCATATCACTATGCATGAGCAAAGGCTGTCATCACTTACTTCCTCAGACATGCTATGTACGTAAACAGACATATAATTCTAGCATATTTACATTCAACTTTAGGATGCAAAAGTTACATAAGCATTTTTCGGTGTTGCTCAATTCCTTCCCTAAAAAGCAATTAATACTAGGTCTATGATTATAGTTTCATCAAAATGGAGGATTACAGTTAGAAAATATTTGTTAATTTGATATCTTTTCCCTTAGTTCTTCTGCTCAGTATGTTTATAGGGGTGTCCTTTTCATTTTTTCTCAACATAATCTTGAGATTTATCAAATATATATTAGACTAAGCATACTTATTATCAAATCTAAGTCAATAACTTTTATCATATGCAAGTAATGCAAAAAATTTAAATACAAATATAAACATATGCATAAATATATGCAACACTAGCAATAAAATATTAAATTGATATATTTCTGCTTTACTCAATTTTACCTATGTTTTGTAATACTGTAAGGGAGAGATCTCAAAATCAAACACATTTTTCACACATTCTCATTAAAATAAAGTATGATGTACATATGGAAGAAAACCTAAAGATTTTCTATTAAATGTTCAAGACAAATAATCAAATAAATAAGTATAACAAGTAAAAAATTAATATTAAAAGCCAGACATTTTTCATTAAAAGCCTTATTGAAAATTCAACATTTTCATGATAAAAGCCTTTCATCAAAGCCCAAGTCAGAATCCTGAAGCCAAGCATGGCTACCATCTCAAATGAAAAAATTGCATGGGCCAAAACCTCTATAATGTGCTTCAATCCTAAAAAATATATAAAACATAAAAAAATACATGACCTACATTCATGAATCTGTGAAATTGCATCCAATGATTCAAAAACAACTACTGTCCCAAGACTGCACTGCCATTACTGCATTTCTAACAGCTTTTAAGACAATGTGGCTAATTTGGACTTTATGTTTTTATGACCTCTGTCCTGTCCCTATTTTGCATCTCTCTTTCCTTCTCTTCTTTTTCTCCTTTTGTTTTCTTCCCTTCATCCTTTCTTTTCTATGTATTTGTCTATGAAGTCCTAACCACCTTTAAAGAAATATTTGTTTTCCTTCTTAACTAACACTTCATGTGTCTAGTGTATAATCTATCTATCCATAGTCAGTTATCAAAAGAAAACACAAAAATGCTAATCTGTACAACTATATTCTAAAATGCTCCCTCTTCTTGCATTCTCGGTTACTTGCTTCTGTTGCAGTTCATGCAATTTGCAACATCTTTACATGAGCTATTCCTAGTCCTTGCTTCACACTCATCTTACTTAAGTGTTATAATGTATTGCTTTTCACTCTATTCATGAACAACAATCCCTTCATTATAACTGTAGATATGTATGAGACCTCCATATTTGTTCCCCTTGTTAGTTCTCTTAATTTCACACGAAGCCATCTCCACATTACTCAGCTATTACATAACATTCTCTTATTCAAATTAGGTATGACATCTGATTACAATCATCACTAAAAATATAATTGAGGCCAATTTGATGCAGTATCTCAGCATTCTTTTGTATATCAACATTGCAAGGAGTAGACCATAAAACTCACTATGTTGCAAAAAGTAACTGCAATCTCTTCATAAGCTGTGCATGCAAGGTCAGTGAACCCTAACAATGCCTAATAGTTCCTCATGATGATATCTGATGTGAGATCAAACACCATAGCAGTTAAAGAACAATGCAATATGATACTACCCTCATTTAAATTTCTTTTTACCAGAAGAAAATATAGCTTCTATAGAAATATATACAAGTTACATCATTCTGATTTCAGAAAGCAGAGCATTACATATGCATGAACTCAATATATCTTATACCTACCACACATGCAAAATATTTTAATAAGAATAATTTTCAAAATACACACGCAATCCCAATGCAGTCAACAACAACTGCATGCTTCTTGTCAAAACAGACCAGTTTAGAATGCCAACATCCCACTTTAGGTGAAAGGTGATAATGTTAAACCTGACTGCAATACTTAAGTGCCTACATTACAAGAGGACTTCACTCCAAATCTGGAAACTGTTTACAATCTTATCAGATTTCAGATTTGGAAATTATAGCTTTTGTTTGTAGTTTCCCAAGTTTACTGCTACTGTTTAGCCGAACAGTTACTGGAAAGTGATTAAATTAATTCTTCTTTTCTTCTTAACTGGTTATCATATAATCCTAGTCTAAAGTTTTAATTGTTAATGAATTTAATGAAAAAGAATGAATTGCTAATTCTGACTAGTTTTTATATTTTCCACTCCAGTTTCAGAAATTACTGATACCTTTCAAAACTCCTGCCATAAATCAAAATGTTTCATGAAATGCATTCATTAATCATGTAAACATATTTCATTACCATGTCAAATGCTGATAACAATACATTAAAAATGAAATACCTCATAAATCATTAAACAAACTGACAGTACTAAACTTACCCTGACCAAGGTTGTCATTATCAAATCACATTTTGAAATCATGATTAAACAACATTTTATATAAATACTGACTGACTAATAAAATGTTATGCCTGAATAACATTGAAGAAAGGCTAGAAGTTCCTTTACTGTAATACTTTTACCAGTGCTGTTGTTGAGAAAATAGATAAGTCTGCAAAATACAAATGATCCAAATGACTAAATACTATCTCAAACAGTAAAAAAAAGTTACCATTTCCCTTTTTTCATCACTTAAATTCCACAAATGAAAAAGTGACACAGTTTTCCGTTAATTAATTTCTTAACCATATCATTCTTCATTCCTACACTGGAAAATCTATATTTTGTTATTCTTGTTACATTACAACTTAGTACATTTTAAAAAAATATGCAAGTGATTTTTCTTAAAAACACACATTCTACAGATAGAAATAGACACAAAATTTTCCCTTACTGTTAATTTTTAACCAAGTCCACATTCCACATTCAGAAAAATAAATAAACAAAGACATATATATCCCTCTTCTTTATATCTGACCCCAGACCAAAACACAATCCTCCATACCTGCAGCGAGCACAAGTGAAGCATTTCTGGTGGTAGGTATTACCGAGGGCAGACACCACCTCCCCTTCCACGAATAGCCCGCATGTGGCGCACCTCTGTCCAAAGTTCTTCTGGTAACATTCTGTACAGTAGTAGTCTTTCTCCCTTGTGAAGAAACCTCCCTGTGCTAGTGATTTCTTGCAGCCTGCAAAGGAAGGGATGTGAATTAGTCGATGCAAGGATCTTCCGTAAATATTCGTTAAAAGGATATAACAGCTTTAAAGGGAAGTTCTTGGTTGGTTGGATAAACATTTTTTTCTTTCATTTTTTTATTAGGGACCATGAATATTCTATTCAGGGTATATATAATATAATAGGATATTGCAATGCCATTATGCTAATTAGGTATCCTGTGTTCACTGTAAACTTGATAAGGCTATAAAATCTTGGGGGAAATTTTCTATTCTGCTGCTCAGCTTATTTCAGTGATATGGAAGATGCAATATTGAAAACAAAAAGATAGGGAATATGAAAAGATTTTTTTTTTTGTCTTCCCATATGACAAGATTCCTTTAAGCTGATAAATACATATAATTTATGAACAGTCTAATATCTCATCCTAATAATGATTACATACATATGCACAAGTCACCATATGCAAAATGAAGATTCCTATATCACAACTCCAGAGAGACAGGCCAATTTCAAGAGGTCATGCCAGAAAAATGGTTGAGAGAGAAATGTTCTTCCTCCACTACTTCTAATTTAACGCAGCTGGTGCAAGGCAAGAGCTCTGGGGTCTAAGTGTCTCTCATAAAGGGGATAACACCCACCCACACGAGCTGTATTGTGCCCTGTGTCATTACTCAACTAAGTCTAACACCCACGTTCCTACAACAACAGAATACCATCTGGCTGTTGGTCCTGTCGTCTGTCTTGCCTGTTATTCCACAAATTATGGAATATGTGCTGCCTGTCTCTCTTTATCTCTCAGCTTGTCTACTCTCAACTACGGCGGCATTCTCTTTTACCACATGTGTGTGTGTGTGTGTGCGTGTGTATGCCTTACAAGCAGTACCCTGATGGTCTTTTATTAACAAATTGCCTTCATTCAACAACAACAACAACAACAACAACAACAACAACAACAACAACAACAACAACAACAACAACAACAACAACAACAACAACAACAACAACAACAACAACAACAACAACAACAACAACAACAACAACAACAACAACAACAACAACAACAACAACAACAACAACAACAACAACAACAACAACAACAACAACAACAACAACAACAACAACAACAACAACAACAACAACAACAACAACAACAACAACAACAACAACAACAACAACAACAACAACAACAACAACAACAACAACAACAACAACAACAACAACAACAACAACAACAACAACAACAACAACAACAACAACAACAACAACAACAACAACAACAACAACAACAACAACAACAACAACAACAACAACAACAACAACAACAACAACAACAACAACAACAACAACAACAACAACAACAACAACAACAACAACAACAACAACAACAACAACAACAACAACAACAACAACAACAACAACAACAACAACAACAACAACAACAACAACAACAACAACAACAACAACAACAACAACAACAACAACAACAACAACAACAACAACAACAACAACAACAACAACAACAACAACAACAACAACAACAACAACAACAACAACAACAACAACAACAACAACAACAACAACAACAACAACAACAACAACAACAACAACAACAACAACAACAACAACAACAACAACAACAACAACAACAACAACAACAACAACAACAACAACAACAACAACAACAACAACAACAACAACAACAACAACAACAACAACAACAACAACAACAACAACAACAACAACAACAACAACAACAACAACAACAACAACAACAACAACAACAACAACAACAACAACAACAACAACAACAACAACAACAACAACAACAACAACAACAACAACAACAACAACAACAACAACAACAACAACAACAACAACAACAACAACAACAACAACAACAACAACAACAACAACAACAACAACAACAACAACAACAACAACAACAACAACAACAACAACAACAACAACAACAACAACAACAACAACAACAACAACAACAACAACAACAACAACAACAACAACAACAACAACAACAACAACAACAACAACAACAACAACAACAACAACAACAACAACAACAACAACAACAACAACAACAACAACAACAACAACAACAACAACAACAACAACAACAACAACAACAACAACAACAACAACAACAACAACAACAACAACAACAACAACAACAACAACAACAACAACAACAACAACAACAACAACAACAACAACAACAACAACAACAACAACAACAACAACAACAACAACAACAACAACAACAACAACAACAACAACAACAACAACAACAACAACAACAACAACAACAACAACAACAACAACAACAACAACAACAACAACAACAACAACAACAACAACAACAACAACAACAACAACAACAACAACAACAACAACAACAACAACAACAACAACAACAACAACAACAACAACAACAACAACAACAACAACAACAACAACAACAACAACAACAACAACAACAACAACAACAACAACAACAACAACAACAACAACAACAACAACAACAACAACAACAACAACAACAACAACAACAACAACAACAACAACAACAACAACAACAACAACAACAACAACAACAACAACAACAACAACAACAACAACAACAACAACAACAACAACAACAACAACAACAACAACAACAACAACAACAACAACAACAACAACAACAACAACAACAACAACAACAACAACAACAACAACAACAACAACAACAACAACAACAACAACAACAACAACAACAACAACAACAACAACAACAACAACAACAACAACAACAACAACAACAACAACAACAACAACAACAACAACAACAACAACAACAACAACAACAACAACAACAACAACAACAACAACAACAACAACAACAACAACAACAACAACAACAACAACAACAACAACAACAACAACAACAACAACAACAACAACAACAACAACAACAACAACAACAACAACAACAACAACAACAACAACAACAACAACAACAACAACAACAACAACAACAACAACAACAACAACAACAACAACAACAACAACAACAACAACAACAACAACAACAACAACAACAACAACAACAACAACAACAACAACAACAACAACAACAACAACAACAACAACAACAACAACAACAACAACAACAACAACAACAACAACAACAAATTGCTCTTTTCATTTGATGACATTTGGAGGAAAATTACTTTGGGGAATGTGAATTTTTTGTTCAAGTTCTCCTCTACATATCTGGCTTGAAACTGCCCAATTTGTCGCAATAAAGCAACAGCAGTAATTGTCACGAAGGTGCGATGTTACGTCACTTGATATGCTTCATGCCTCTTCTTTTTGAATAATCATGATTAATATGTCCTGTCATCATCCTTTCTCTTTCTGTCTTTCTTTCTTTTCTTTTTTTTTTTACATTCCACCACATGTATTTCCATTTGCAAACCCTTTTTTTCTTTTCTTTTTTGCCTACTCATAAAATAAATACAAAAATAGAAAAGAAAACTATTATAAATAAAATTTAAAAAAATACAATACAACTACTGACAATGACACAGATGAAGATAATAATGGTAATCAGAACAACCACAATTATCATCATCATAATACCAAAATCTATAACCACAGTACAAGCAGCAAACAACAGACAGAAAGTTGTCTAAAAATTTCCACACAATAACCCCCATAAGTCTGCATATTCAAGGTGACTTGGCATTCCTCCTCCTACCAAAAGGGACATTACATAAACACAACTCTGGACACAATAAAAGGGATATAAAAAAGAGAGAAAGAAGAAGAAAAAAAAAACACATTAAAAGGGATATAAAAAAAGAGAAAAAGAAAAAAAAGAGTGTGACTCTGTGTGACTCTGCAAATGTGAAGAACCTGAGAACTACTTGTCCATACAAATAGAATTGTTTGCTTTAACCTGCTATAAAACTTGGAGGAACCATAAATATTTTCCCATATACTGTACTCAAATCTAAAAAAAATGTCCTACACATAACACCAATCACTCCAAATGTTAATAAAAAAAGAAAAAAAAAGGAAAGCAAGAAAAAATGACATAACATTATCATCATCATCATCATCATCATCAACAACAACAACAACAACAACAACAACAACAACAACAACAACAACAACAACAACAACAACAACAACAACAACAACAAATAACAACAAACAACAAAACTACAGGCCTCAACACCTATAGGGACAAAAAATGCCATCTACCAACATATCAGACTCGGCAAAAATAACCAAAAGAAGGTGTCTCATGTTCCGCGTTCATGGTCGCTGATGACTTTGCATGAACACTCTGATTTTACCACAAAAGACTCCCATTGGTTAACCTCACGACAAGAACCTCAGAATAGAAAGCACACACTGAATTCGCATTTTTAGACGGACCGCAAGTCTTCACTGGGGTAATCTGGAGTTGTAATCTCCACCTCTGACTTTTTCTTCTTCTTCTTCTTCTTCCTTCTCTCTTAACATTCTTTTGCTTTTTTTTCCTTACTCCTTTCTTTATTTTATTTTCCTTTATTTTCCTTTTTTTTAGTCATTTTCCATGTTTTAATATTTTTATCCCTAATTCTATTAGGGGGAAAGGGTATTTCTCAGACATTTCCAGCAAGAGGGGGGAAGGGAAGGGAAGGGAAGGGAAGGGAAGGGAAGGGAAGGGAAGGGAAGGGAAGGGAGGGGAAGGGGGAGGGAAGGAGGGGAAAGGAGGGGAAAGGAGGGGAAAGGAGGGAGAGGGAAGGGAAGGGAAGGAAGAAAGGGGCGGGTGAAGAGAGATGGGGGAGGAGGTGAATGTGAATGTGAAGGGAGAGGGGAGGCGTAGGGGAGGGGAAGGAAGGGGAAGATAAGAGAGAGAGAGATGAGAGAGAGAGAGAATCGGAGGGAGGGAAGGGGAGGGGAGGGGGAGGGAGTCGAGGAAGAGGGGGTCCGGAGTGAGGGAAGGGAAGAGGGAGGGCGGGATGAAGGAGGCGAAGGGAGGGCAGGGAGGGGGGAGGGGGGGGAGGGAGGGAGGAGGGAGGTGCAGGGAGGGAGGGAGGAGGGAGGTAGAGGAGGAGAGAGAGAGGAGAGCGAGGGGAAGGGAAGGACAGGGAAGGGGAGATGAAGGAGAGAGAGAGAGCGGAGAGAGAGAGAGAGAGAGAAGAGGGAAGGGAGGGGTGGGAGGGGGAGGGAGGGAAGGAAGGCGTGAGGGAAGAAGAGGGAGGGAGGGAGGGAAGGAGGGAGGGGGGGGGAGGGAGGGAGGGAGGGAGGGAGGGAGGGAGGGAGGGAGGGAGGGAGGGAGGGAGAGGGAGAGAGAGAGAGAGAGAGAGAGAGAGAGAGAGAGAGAGAGAGAGAGAGAGAGAGAGAGAGAGAGAGAGAGAGAGAGAGAGGAGAGAGAGAGAGAAGAGAGAGAGAGAGAGAGAGAGAGAGAGAGAGAGAGAGAGAGAGAGAGAGGAGAGAGGAGAGGAAAGAGAGGAGAGGAGAGGAAAGAGAGGAGAGGAGAGGAAAGAGAGGAGAGGAGAGAGAGGGGAGAAAGAGAGAGGAGAGACGACAGGAGAGGAGAGTGGGGGAGGGAGGGAGATGGAGGAGAGTGAGGGATGGAGGGAGAGAGATATGAAAGAAAGAGGGAGAGAGATAGCGATAGACAGTGTAGAAGTCTATAGATTGGTTTGCAAGAGTAGACATAGGGGTAGAACGGCTTGATTCTTCATTAACAGCAGTGATAGTTAGCGTAAGTACGGCTCACAGACAGATAGACGGGGAGAAATGACAAAAGAGAAAGAAGCCGAGGCAACAAACGCGATGATGACTAAACAGGAACTCAAAATCAACGGATTAAGACCTACTTGAGCCAAATGCCCCACACACTGTGACGCATTTTCCCAAGCAACAGGAGACCATCAGGGG